CACTGGGTGTTATGCACAAACAATGAATCATGGAACACTTCATCTAGAACTAATGATGTAATGTATGGGGATTAACATAAGAATAAAAAAAAAACTAAAAAAAAAAAAGAAACTTGGGTGTCTAATAGAGAAGGAGACGTGGCTAGAGGGGTGCTTCTATTAAAGGAGATTTTATATTTTAAGATGGAAAACGTAAGCATGTGTCTTTGGTATTGTGCCTGTATTTCAGAAAAGAGAGGCATTGGCGAAACAGTTTACCACCAATGAGGAGACTTGGGAACAAAATCCAGGTAATACATCAGGATAGGCTAAGTTATGCTGATGCCACAGCACCCACTAAACTTCCATAAGCTTAACATATCTCAAGTTCATTTTCCTCTTTTACTACATGTTCTGGTGTGGGTCTGCAGGGGGTCTGCTCATCTTCGCTACTCAGAAACCCAGGCCACCAGATGATGGCTTCAACTCCATAGTCAGGGCATTTGGCAGAAAGGGATACGACTTACTCACTAGCTTTTTAAGCTGGTGGAAAGGTAACAAGTATTCTGCATGTTTCAAGTGGGTCAGAGAAGCGCCAATCCCACCAGATGCTGGAAAGAGCTGGAAACTTCAAAGAGTAGCCTAACAGGTAGTTCTATTGAACACTACTTGTCATTTCCAGTATTGGAAATAGCCACAAATTTGTATTATCTATTACCTACTTCGGGGCCAGGCAAGATGGGGTGAAATAAAATATGAGATATCGTTAGTTCATTTCAACAGAGAGGTGGGGGGGTTCTGGTCTCTGCCACTCAGTTACTGCTGTGTAAACCTGAAAGTTCCCTTGCCTCTTTGGGGCTTTGGGGGAGGATGTGATGCTCTTCCAGCTCCAACGTTTTCATGCTGTAATGAGCTTGGGACTGGAATAAGAGGAGAGGAGGAAGGGAGCGAGCCCAAGGCGCGCGACCTCAAGAAAACAGACTTTCCAGTATTTTTGTCCGGATGCCTGTTGGATAATGTGCTTTCAGCCATCTCCAGTAAGGAGATGGTGGCACAGTTCTGCATTGTAATAGCTGTTTGAAAAGTCTAGCGGTCGCTCAACTTTGGCTGCGCGTTAGTATCACCCCGGCGAGGTTTTTTAAGAATCCCGGCGCCGGGCTCCTCCACCCCAGACGATGAAATCAGATTCTCTGGGAGCCAAGCCCCAGCATCGGTATTTTTAAAGAGTTATGTGCACCGGGTATTCTTTAATCCTTTACTACTTGCTGGAGTGGCTGGATGACATCTAGTGGGCGCATTCTCATTAAAAAAGTTCTTGAACCGAACCCTCTCTTTCTTCTTCTCTCAACGGCTGTCGGGGTTGCGTTTTAATAGGCCAAGGTGTGTGCGGTGGTGGTGGTGGGGGAGGAGGCATCAAGCTAAAGGGTCTTTGGGACATCAGCGGGCTCCTAGCGTTTGGGGGCGAGCTGATCTCCCCGCGCAGGAGGCTCTGACTCCGGCCAGCTCTGACCTAGGGCGCCCCGCGCCGGTCGGGGGAGGCTCGAAGTCCGCTTTCAGCGGGACAGGACACTGGAAAAAAAGGGTGGGCCGAGGCGGGGAGAGGAAGGCCGGGGGAGGAGCCGGAGGAGACGTTGCCGCGAGCGGGCGGTCCCCGACGAGGCCCTGACTTCCGCGCCCCGGCGTTCGGCGGGGCGGCCTGGTCACCATGGCGGGCCTGGATCCCGGCCCGGGCGTCCCCGTGTGGCTGGTCGAGGACGACCTGGGCTGCATCATCTGTCAGGGGCTGCTCGCCACGCCCGCTACGCTGCCCTGCGGCCACAGCTTCTGCCGCGAATGCCTGAAGGGCCTGTGGGCCGCGGGTAGCGCCAGCCCCCCGCGCTCCTGCCCCACCTGCCGGGAGAGCGCCCCGGCGCCGCTGAAACTGCGGAAGAACACGCTGCTGCAGGAGCTGGTGGACAAGTACAGCCGGGCGCTGCGCGAGGTGACGGACGGCCCCGGCCCCGCCC